AACAATACGCATGCAATGACCCACCTCAACCGCTAGTCTCCCTTAGCCAGACCAATCGAAGGAAGACAATCATTCCTTCTACTCAACTGCCACGATACAGAACCAAGACGCAGCGAGGCGGGAATCCTCTCAAATGTGTTCAGTTTCGCCTTGTGAGAGATTGATGAGTTTGTTATCGATGCTACCAGTGGGCTGAGGTGTGTTCCATTTTCTCTGATTTTACCTACCCATTCTTGAACCGAACTAAAAATAAATTATGGACATGGTCTGGTCCATCTAAATTAAAGAGAAAGAGGGAAGAACGAGGCAGACAACGAAGGGGCTATGATATAATTGAACAGAAAAAAGAAGTCAGCGCCACCGTCGACGGTGGTGATATATTCTGCACTGGCAGAAGGTGATAAGGGTGAAGTGAAGGAGGTTAAGTACTGATTATCGATCGTGGCCATAGCAGGAGAAAGAACTAGAAGAGGGATGGAAGGAGACGTGCTTCTTTAGGGTCACCGTCTCGCTTGGGCTAGGTGAACCAGTTCAGAGGAAGAAAGCCAAGCTAGTCGAAGGCAAAGTCAACTGATGACTATAGGCGGAAGAAGTACCAGGATCGAGTCTGATGGTGGTGAGTCTTGCATCCGACCTCTCGTGCCAATTTTACCCAACGCGCACCACAACTTCAATACACCCAGTCACCAATATTTGCTGATACGCATCTACAGAATCAACACCTAGTGTAACCGCCCGCTCCCCATCTGACGCAATAATCATTCGCGCCTTTTGGTTTCATAGTGACGGTTGAAATGTTTGAGGTCGAAGATGAAGGTGACTCTGATTTGAAGGAGGAAAGGACGAACAATAATTCTGATACTACATACAGCTAGATCTGATATGAAAAACGACTGAGTCTTATGCAAAATGTTCGGGATTCACTGTTACTTTGAGGGAAGGCATAAGGGCGATGTATTCCGCTCGCTGCACATCTGTTGTCATACTCCCCTTCTCCCTTCTAGCAAGTTCTAAGGGAAACATCACCTGTGTTAATTCGGGTGCGTTTCTGTTTGTCGAATGTCACTGTTTCGCGGAAACGGACTACAGGTCGTCGCAGGATGTGCCGGACACTCCGTGCTCCTTCGTGAAGGGGAAACTGCTATCGGAGTTGTGTCTGCGTATCGCACGCGATGACGATTCGACCAGACCCATGCGCACATTTTGATATTACTTTGGCACGGTCCCCAAGTTGCGGCACACCACCAGTAAGCATCCGGGCCGGCTGGCAGGACAGATTTGGGAGGCACGCACGCAAACGATGCGTAAAGAACGCCACCCAATTGAACATAGAAACTCACTCCACCAAATCTCAGATTACCTTTGACTAGTGATCAACCCTGAGTCTGACAATGACCTACCTTCTACCCCTCATGCCATAGTGAGCCGGTAAAATTCCGATAGTGCGCAATATTTAATTGGATGCTCAGCTCAAATTCGAGCAACAACAAACACACGAGCTCGAGTATTCACTCAGAAGTGTGCCTTTTGCGTAGTTCTTTGTGTGTTGCACGAATGTTGCACGAAGATATTATATCTGACCGAGGCGAGTGCGATGTCCGTGTCGTTCCGTGAGCATCAGTTACATGATGAATGGTCCGAATACCATAATTCCTCTCTAACGCTCACATTGCGGAGGAGAATGCGACGCATTAACCTACCAAAACTGCCACGATCCAGGACACAGACACAGACGCAGCGAGCAGGAGTGCACGATCGGTATGATTGAGGGACCTCAGCGCTCAAGGCGCCCATCAACAGATTAGGCTACATGTGAGTAAGTAATACATATTATTACACATTTGTCCTGTGGCTGCTACGGTGACGGGCATATAAAATAATAAATTATATCAGACTCAATCGTACCTAGCGAGCTCGCTTTCAACAAATTGAAGGGCTTCCCGGGCAGAAGGCCGGTCGGTGGGTGTCTTACACCAGCAACGGGTCATAAAATCCCATTGCTCGTCGGTGACACGATCTGGACGAGGATGTGTTTGCCCCTCAAAGATCAATTTACCCATGATTGCAGCTTCACGGTTCAAGTGGGGCCAAGGGACGTTTCCAGTCAGGACCTACAGGACAAGTTAGTAGGCTGCATTAGCAAGAGGGAACGACTTACTTGGAGCGTGATGCTACCGAAGGAGTAAATGTCGCTCTGAGTGGTGATTGCAGAGCCTGATTCTTCCAGAGAAAGAAGTTCAGGAGCTGCCCATCTCAGTGCTCCTGGATGACGACTCATTTTCATCAGGTACGTCATGCCGGGCAATTTGGTTAAAGTTCCCGAAAGGCCAAAATCAGCAAGATATGCAGTTCGATCGCTACCAATCAGGACATTGTTCTGGAAGTCGATCATTAGTATCATGGATTGGAATAAATGAGGATCCTTACACCAGTGAGATCTCCGTGGACAACTGGATTGGAGTACGTATGTCCGTCTACAGTGAAACTGAACGTATGAACTGAGGGAGTCATTAACTCTCGCTATGTGGATGCCGGCATTCACTCACGATAGTCGAGGCCAGCGGCTACGCCACGGAGCTTGGGTACGGTACGATGAGCTCGACGGCGCAAACCGGGGAACGAACTTGAAGTTCTCACCAGAAGCAGACGATCACGCAGTGTGAGCGTCTTGTTGTCGTTGAGGAACGACGTCAGAGTGTCGTTGACTATCCACGGAGCAACCAAAGCCACAGAGGGGCCGAACTCCCCAGTAGTACCCATGAACTTCAAGATATTAGAGTGTTGCAACCTCTTCCAAATCCCGAGTTCTCTCCGTAATACGAATACCACCATCTCAGTATTGAAAATTTGCGGTCTCATTGCTTTGACGGCGACCTGCAGGTAAGTGATACGTCAGTACACGTGGGGGAACTGTAACATCCACACAAACCTGTATGTCGCCGTCCGGCCCGTGGTACATACATTTGTAAATATTTCCGTATGTACCGCCAGAAACGGGATCTTGGTCGCATCGGGTGATGAGCCCAGTCAAGTCTGGGATGAGAATTGGAGGGATAGGTTGAGTGGAGGGAATGACATTAGGAGTGGTAGGTGGGGGGGATTGTCTATTTATGACAGGTCCAGCAAGTCCACCTCTGATTTGTTGCGGTGCAACGGCGGCTTCCATCGTCTGATGCCTGAAACGTTCGATAGTACTTCGTAGTAAGCTATGCATGCTCTTTAGAGCGGAGGGATCAATTATGACCAGGTTCGACCTTGTTGAATAACTGGCCCTTTGATGTGCCACCAACGAGACCTGGAAAGAAGACAAGCTTAACACGACAAAATGCACGCACGCATAAAGGACACTCACGGTTGCGACAAGATTGCGGATCATATTATCCGATCTCAAAACAATCCAGTACATTGGTAGCTTGACATCAAGGTCCTCGGTCATCTTGTGAAGCTGCTCCAGTAGCTGGTCGTACTCCATTCGCTGGTCGGCTGACAATGCGTGGGGTGGCATCGTCGGCGGTTCTGCGCAAAGGATAAGAATCTGCGGCGACAATATATGACGGGATGACCTACTTGCTGAGTAAATTCGTTTCAGATTCTGGATCAGGTCTACTGCGTGTGCGAGCTGCTCCTCAGTTGGCGGTAGAGTGGGTCCTGACTGGATGGTGGGCTTCTTGGGCATACCCAGTCGCTCATCCGGGACCACAGGATCTGCGCTTCGCCGACCTGCCGTCGAATGAGCGTCGACTCCTGGATTCATTCCAAGACTTGAAGTAGAACGGGCTGACTGCGGCTCAAGTTGCTGGGGTGGTCTAAGTCCATTCTGGGGCAAATGTTCCCTCCCAGGTATCACATATGGGCGATGACGATGTTGCGTTGCCCGACGGGGAGAACGATGCAATGCACCAGGTGTAAGGCTGAGGTGAGTTCTAAGGGGAATCGAAAGGATCGATCGAGGAAGGTAGGAAATTGTGATAGAGGATGGTAGCGAGTTGACTAGAGATCAAACGATGATGCAGACAGAGACGTTTTTGACTTTGACGGAATGTTCGGACGGCTGCGAGAATACGGATCACTGAGAGGGAGTTGATTCACTAATTAAACGAGAATTACATGTAACTTTTTATACAGCGGGAGAATGGACAAAGCGCTATCAAAGCGCGAGTAGCGAGAAGAAAGGCAAAGCGAGACGTGAAAGGTGTGGCGTAGGTACAAAGAATAATTGGGAACGTGTGGTGATGGCGATAAGGACAAAGGCTAAACGTGAATTGATGTAAATATGGACAGAAAAGGAAATAGAAGAGAAGGCAGTGCGTGATATGTCACAGTCGTTGAAGGGTTGATTGAAGCGAGCTTTCATCGTTAAAGGCGCAGCCTTTCTTACACCTCCCCCCAACTAGAAATATCAACTGTCCCAGTTGATCCTCAAACAACTATTCGTGCTCTGGGGCAGTGCCGACGAGGTTATCTGGATTAAGGAACTGTGTGACTTCGAGTGTTGTCAAGGATCGAGGGTGATAGGGAATGATCCGGAATGCGGCGAATCTGAGACGTGAGACCGCACCGTCAAGTTCGGCGAGTAGGTAGGAGCCACCAGCAGCACGGGAGACGACTACCATAGGTCCGAAATACCGCGGTTTACACTTGGCGTTTGACGCAGCTTCAATCTTCTTGTTGAGAACCAGCACTAGCGCACCGGGTTGGAAATCATAGTCACGTATGGCATGGGCAAATCATCGTTCGAAGTCTGCGACAGATGTGAACCGGGCCTTGAGAATGCGTTTGTGGATGACGGCTAAATCGTCTTCGCGTTTCATAAGCTGACGAGCACAAGCCGCGATCAAGTCCTCGGTGGACTGAGGGGATGCGATATCGGGGAGCATGAAGGTGGCCTCAGTAATATCAAAGGGGAGCAGAGGCTCGACCCCATGAGCCATGAAGTAGGGAGAGTGACCGGTGGCTTTGCGAGTCGTAACACGGTCGGCCCAGAAGATGTGAGGTGCAACTGTTGGCCATCGAGTGATGTCGCTTTCGCAAGCCTTGACAAGCGAATCACGGATGGTACGATGCGAGCGTTCGACAATCCCATTTGCGCGTGAGTTGTAAGCCGAGATACGGATATGGTTAATATGGTACGTTTTCACGAGCCAGTCTAGTGCTGCGATAAACGGGGTTCCGTTATCAGTGACGATCTCTTCAACCGCGCCCCATCTGCAGAGAACTTCTTCGAATAGGAAGGCCCCAAGTGTCCGACCAGTTTCAGACCTGAGCATTCGGAATTCTGGCCACGCACTGAGGGAGCATCGAGCTTGGACGATGTAGGAGTATCCGTGTGAGGTTGGCATATGCATGGAGTCCGTGTAGGCTTTATGGAATAAGGATGCTGGTGTGGCGACAGTGGGAGGGATGATGACTTTTTCTACCGAACGCAGTTGACATTGATGACAGGTCTTGAGGTACCATGCAAGATCTTTATCTAATGTCGGCCACCAAAAGCGGTCCGCAGTTGCGCGACGAGTAGGGTAAAAACCCTTGTGGCCAAGACGGTCGTGAGTCTCGTGCAAGATGCGAGTGCGGTCGGGGCCGAAAAGAACAATCTGATGGCGTCCTGCTGGATCCTTGTGCCAGAGACGATTGCCGTGGACGAAATATCGGGCTGCCTGCTTGCGGATCTGAAGAGACTGGGTGTTGGAGATGTTGGAAGGAAGCGTGAGGGTTTCAAGGTATCTCTGTATAGCGTGTAGGTTGTTGTTGCGAGCGCGGGAAGCATCATCAGAAGGGATATCAAGATCAGATGTATGCGAGGTTTCTGCGAATTGCAGTACTGTTGCACGGCTCATCACTTCTAGATACCCGTCATCCAAATCTTTTGCGATCCATAGGCCGCAACCCAATAGCTCATCAATCCATTCTTCAACGTCTTCGGTGCCTTCGTTATCTTCTTTGTCGTCTTCTGGTGCGTGTCTTCTGCGAGATAATCCGTCTGGTCCTTGATGCTTCGAGCCAGGTATGTGCTTGAGAGTGAAGTCGAACATGAGGATGCCGGCGATCCAGCGATTCATGGCGGCGTTGGGCTGAATATCAGGATTGTTAAGCATGCCTTTGATGTATTTAGCGTCCACTTCAACGGTAAGCTTTTTGACGCCTATGAGCCAGACTTTGGCGGCTTTGAGTGCACGGAACAGGCCATATAGTTCGATCTTCGCTTGTGAATAGCGTGCCTCGCGCTCATTCCAGGTGATGGATCCGAACCGGGAGGGACAACATCGGCCACTGTCGTCGAGCTGCAAGAGGATCCATCCGCAAGCAATGTAGGACGAGTCTACTGCAAGTATGACTTCCCGGTTAGATGTGTAATCAATAGGTCTGATGGCAGGAGAGTTGACGATGGCGAGCTTCAGCTGGTCCATGGCGGCTTGAGCATCTTGAGTCCAGTCAAAAGGAACATTGTCACGTGTCAAGTTGGTGAGGGGACTGGCGAGCCGAGCATAATCTTTGATCCAATTCCGCACTGTACCTGTGGTGCCCAGAAAACCACGAACTTCTGTTTTTGAGGTGCATGATGGCCAGTGCATAATTTTGGAGACTTTGGACTCGTCGGGGATTCGGCCATTGTAAGTGCAACATTGTCCGACAACTATAACTTCTGGGACGCAAATGAAGAGCTTCTTTGCTGATACGGTGGCACCTGCGTGTTTGAGGCGGTGGAGAACCCGGTTCGCATCTAAACAATGTTCCCAGACGAAGCGCTGTATGAGCTTGCTGTTGGGGGATAGTTCGTAAGTGCCGTCAGGAAGTTCATATCGAGTACGAGGGCCCAGAACATTGACGTCATCTTGAAAATTTGGTGCGATCTCGATCTCAGCCTGTAAGATGAATGCTACATCGTTTTGGAAAACCGCAGGTGAGTCCGTCCAGCCTTGAGGCAGAACTGTGAGGCGATAGGTACCAAGAGGAGTCTGGAACGTGGTGATGTCACGTGATTCCTCTGCAAGGGCTTGGTGATCGAAGCCAACAAACAAGTCCATCATTGAGTATATAGAGCGTCCAGCGCACTGCTCTGCAAAATGCTCAACATAAGGCATGGTGGCTGCGTCCTTGACGGTTACGGAGTTAAGCTGTTGTAAGTCATGAACAATGCGGACGGCTCCACTCTTCTTCGCTACACAAAACCAGCGGGACTGATATGAAGAGTTTGATGGTTCGTAGACCCCTGAAGCTATCTTAGATTGGATGAGCTTGATGACTTCGTCCTTAATGCCTGGTGGAATGGGAGGCTGACGATGGGCCCATGGAGTGTGTTCAACAGTCGGGATGATGACGGGTGGAAAATACTCGTCTCTGAACCTCCCTTTTTCTGATTCATCCCATGCAAGTGCCGTCTCATTGTTCATGAGAATGTGGGCCACTAACTTCTGTTCTTCCGGCCAGAGAAAGTCATTAGAGAATACTCCGAGTTTGTTCATTCGTTCTTGTGTGAGGCGTGTGCCAGGTACGAAGTCCGGGGGTGTTGGCGAAACTGAAGGAAGAGAAAGGAGGGGGTCCTCCGGAATGTGACGGATAATGCGGGCATGGCTGGGCATGGTAGTTGCCACTGGTCGGACTTTGTTGGCGACTTTCTTGTAGGTGAACACGTGTCTTTCCTCGTCGTATTCAAAGGAGTCTTGAAGTAGAAGCTCAGTAAATGAGGTAGGCGTGAGACCGTGAACAGGCGGCTGTTGGAAGGGTCGTTGGGCGAGAGCAGACGAGAGAGGCGTATTGTTGACAGAGGCATGAAGGGCTGGTGCTGGTGCTATGCAGAAGGCATTAGAGGTTACTGAGAATGATCCAGGCTGGGGCCACGGGCGTGGTGATGTCTCGCAGGTGCGGGTGTTACTGTGGTCGAGTGGATCGTGGATTGTAATGAGTACCGCATCGTTAGTTTCTTCCTTTGACAATTTAACAAGACACTGCCACGGTCGTCCAAGAAGAAGCCTGTAAGGTGCGTCAGGTACTACATATGCATGTGCCCATGTCTTGATTCCTGCTACGTCGATTTCTAACATTTCCAAGCATCCTTTCATGTCCTGCGATCCTCCGTTGGTGGTTTGCATTCGCATGCGAATACGGTCGTTCAGAGGTGCATTCGTCTTCTTCCAGGTATCTTCACGGATGACAACAATTTCCGATCCTTCGTCGAGTAGGCCCATCTCAGAGTGGACGCCATTGATTGTGACGCGTAGTTCGTGAAGGGGAGTAGCATGTTCGACTTGAAGAGGTGCAACGGCCAGGGCTGAGGCAATTGCATTGGCTGACATAGCCGAGGGAGGACTTGGTATGCGCTGAGTACGACAGTGATCCACAGCCTCGCGTCTAAGATCGGGACTGATGGCGAGTAGGTTGGAGATGGTGAGGTTCGGTACCACCATGTTGAGAATGTTCTGATAGACGCGTTGGGTGGCCTCAGGTGACGCTGCCTTGGATTCGTAAGTGTACGCCGGGGTCTTCTGAGCTAGTTGATTCTCAATTGGCTTGGGGGGTTCTGGGGTGCATTTCACTGGATTCGCGGGTAGAGTGGGCAGGGTGGCTGGAGTTTTATCTTTAATCGATGGGGTAGAAGGAGGTGCTTTGGCCTTCGAACGGGTGACAGCTAAAACATCAGCAGATTCTTCATCTTCAGCATCCTCGGCGGTGACAATGACAGCATGGTTTTCGATGACAGGTTCGCACTGAAGGAAGTATGTTTCCAAGATGAAGGCGGCAGTGGTAGCAGGTGCGGCA